TAGCAGGTCGTGTATGGTAGCACAAAAACAGACCAACATTTAAAAAAAAATGGATATTCTACGTCGGTTATTGCATTAACCGACGTTGAAACGTCTTTCGCTTGAGCGAAACGTCGGTCACTTGAGCGAAACAGCACCCGAGCGCCCCCTTTGTTTGAAGGCTTCGTCGCTCAAGCGAGTACACCGGTCGCTTGAGCGATAAAGGACTTTCAACGTCGGTTATCCAATAAGCGACGTAGAATTTACTCATTTCTACGTCGCATTTGCATTAACCGACGTTGTGACGTCGGTCGCTTGAGCGAAAACTCGGTCGCTTGAGCGAAATAGCAACCGAGGGTCCCTTTGGTTTGAAGGCTTCGTCGCTCAAGCGAGTACACGGGTCGCTTGAGCGACTTCAACGTCGGTTAGTTCAATAACCGACGTAGATGTCTACCACTTTCAACGTCGGGTATGATGAACCGACGTAGAATCCTTTGACATTCAACGACGCCTGATTCAACGACATCATTGGAACCGACGTTGAAAGCCTTCTACACCCGACGTTGAATGCTCGTTCTACAGTAGTGATCACCGGTATTTTATACTGGTTCACCCAATACCAGGGCTACGTCCAGTCTCCAGCCAAATTCCAGCTGGGTTCCACTAGATTAAATGTTTTACAGATTCAACAATCTTACACCTAATCTATCACAAGAACCAAATTCCAGTTCCTGCACTTAACCTCTCCACCAAGAACCAAATTCCAGCTCTTGATAACCTCTACAACCAAGTTCCAGCTGCAGAGAAACCAGTGCCCAAATTCCAGGCACCAACACCTAACCTTTCACCAAGAACCAAATTCCAGTTCTTGACAACCTCTACAACCAAATTCCAGCTGCAGAGAAACCAGTGCCCAAATTCCAGGCACCAACACCTAACCTTTCACCAAGAACCAAATTCCAGTTCTTGACAACCTCTACAACAAAATTCCAGCTGCAGAGAAACCAGTGCCCAAATTCCAGGCACCAAACAATACAAAAAGAATGTAAAGAAATGAAAAAGAAGAAACTAGAATGCTCAAACCAGTTTATGCAATTCTGCTATAAGTGTTTCTTCTTCAAAAGAATGCAAGTTGCCTCAAGAAAGATTTTCAAAATAACTTCTAAAAAATTGTTGCGAATCTTTCTTGAAAAGAGTGTTAAGGTTTGCTTGAATGATTGCTCAAGGATGTGTAAAAACTGATGTTCAATGTATGTTTTAAAAAGTTCAAGCAACTCTGTTTTTAAAGAGTATTTTCAAAACTGTTGCATTAATTAATCTATTAAAAGTTTGTTTTAATCTGTTGAAATAGCCGTTTCAATCTGTTAAAAGTCCTTTCAATCCATTAATACGTTCTTGATTCTTTAACAGATTTGTTTTAGCTGATACAACAACGTTTATATCAATTAAAACACTTTACAAAAAATCTTCTAAGTTGATTTAATCGATTGTTTCGCGATTCAATCGATTGAAATACTGCAAACTTTCTTATAAAACTTTTCAAGTTATTTTAACTGATAAACCATAGGTTTTAATCGATTAAAACTCTGTACAAAATTTTTCCAAGTTGTTTTAATCGGTTGAAATGCGTTTTAATCGATTGAAACTCTGTACAAAATTTTTCCAAGTTGTTTTAATCGGTTGAAATGCGTTTTAATCGATTGAAACAGATCTGATCGGTCATAATTCAATTCTGATCGATCATAATCAACTCTGATCGGTCATAAATGCATTCTGATCGATCATAACCAACTCTGATCGGTCATAACTACATTCTGATCGATCATTCTGACCCTTTAAGTGATTTTAATCGATTGAAACGTGTTTTAATCGATTTAAATAAACTCTGATCGCTCATGTTTCAAATTTGATCGGTCATAATGGGTTCTAAAAGGTTTTAATCGATTAAAAGCAATTTGTATCGATTAAAATACTGTAAAAACACTTCTTTGAACATTCTAAGTGTTTTTAATCGGTTCTTTCAAAACTATATCGGTTAAAAACATTATTAAGAAAGCTTTTGTCAAAATGCTTTGTTTTTAATTGTTTAAAACGATTTTAGAGGCATTTTGCAAAATCATTTAAGTGAAGAAACTTCATGCAACAGAAAAGATAAAGTGGTTTTACCTAAGCATTCTGTTAGACACACTAATCCTCTAACTCTTTTATCTGAGTGACTTGTTGACCACTGCAAAGTAGTCTTTTGACTTCATCTTTGACTTCATCAAATCAATGAGATCTTTGCCAATGTATTTCAATAAGATCTTCATCACTTTCAGTCTCCCCCTATTTGATGAAGACAAACACCATTTTGAAAAAAAAACTCTGCAAAGAGAAGTCACTTGATAAAACAGATTAGTGAGAAATTAAAAAATGTATTAATGTCCTATTTCTCCCCCTAAAACTTATTTCTCCCCCTAAAATGATGCTTCCTTAATGTGAGAGTTATTTCTCTAAATTGATCCTAAAGTAAAGCAACTATTTCTCCCCCTTTTGACTTCATCAAAAATAGGGAACAGAAGAGAAATAATGAATGCAAAGGTTTTCAACAGTTTGAGTTTTTGAAAATAAAAAGAAATCAATACTTTACTCATGTAAAGATCAATTAAAGTTGATTCAAACTTATCTTCATTAACACGTTTGTAATGAATACAATTAACATGTGTAAAGATAAGGGAATCACGCTTTAGTAGCATGTTACAGGAACAGCCATTAACTAAAGCCTTTAATTTTTCTTTCCAGAATAAAAATCGATTAAAAGCAGGACAGAATCGATTAAAATGTTCTTGTTAATGATTTTAATCGATTGAAATAAAATTTTAATCGATTAAAACCTTAAAGAATTTCAAAGATATGAAACATTAGTGCATTTAATCGATTAATTCGACTTTTAATCGATTAAAACAGTAAAGAAAAATGTTGTATAAATTCTTTTAATCGATTTAAAAGATTTTTTTTTTATTAAAACATTCAGATTTGAAAACTATGACATTTCTATCTATGTTAGTTTTATCCAAATTAAAACCTATATTATGTGGTTTTGTTGGTGTCATTTTTTGCCAACTAAAAAATGAGACGGGTTAGGTCGTTATAGTTATAACAGATTGTAAATCTTGATCCGTTCTATCAAAGGAGGAACTGACTCGTCATAATTTAAAAAAAAAAGATATTTTTTTTAAATCAAATTTTTTAATAAATTTAATAATAAGATTATAATTTATTTGTCAATAACTTAACATATATATTTTAAGTTAATAATATAAATCAAAAACATTATTTTAAAAAATTATAATTTAAAAAAATAATAAAATTTATATAATAATAAATATATATAAATAACATCAAAATTTGTATAATTTATATTTTTTATATTAAAAAATTTAAATACCTATATTTTTTTATTTGATAAAACTTCACATTATTCTTATTTCTTTAACTCAAGTTATAAGAATAAAACTAATTAGAATAAACAAAAAAGATATAAAGGGCAAGAAAATGATAGACAACAAAAAATAGATGAGAAAAAAATTTGTATTTAAATAAGGAAAATATTTCTTATAATAAATGAAAATGAAACTTTTTTTAATTCTATTCCTATAATTTTTTATTAAAAATTATTATATTTATAACTAACTATATTATAATAAAAAAATTATCTTTACCTCATCCCATGAACTAGATTGAAAGATTAGGCTAGTCAAGTTAAAGCGATTTAACTGGCAGGTTAATCCGTGTAGCTGAGGTCAATCCGTGTACCTAACCATGTTGTCATCCCAAAATATATTATTATATGTATTTTTGGTGGGTCTCACTCGATAGTTCCAAAAGTGAAATACACCAAATCCTGAGATTTTTTATAACCAAAAGAATATAACAAAAAATGTTATATTTCAGTTCAACAATTTGCCAATTACTTTTTAAAACCTACTTATGGTACAATAATTTACACTTAAAATTATTGATATTTTTGCTAATCTTATTCTACATCTTAAATAGATCCTCTCACACTTGATTAATAAAGAGTACCTAATTACAAAAAATCAAATTCAGATTCTAGGGAGTTTATTTAATTTTATTTATTTTTTTGCTCTAGACCTCAAATCCTGTGGCCTCGCCTTATCATCCCCGTCTGGAACTACAACAACCATGGGTGCTACAATTTCGGCTATTATAGCAAATCGTAATTTTTCTCTTGTTCATGCATCTTGGAAGAAACACACACCCTTATCATCCCGAGAAACCTATCCTCTACCACAAATACACTCTTAAAGAGGTATACTCACCCCCTCCGGAGATTTCTCCTAACCCCTACTTATTCTTATGCTCAGTTCTTTTACAATTTTAGTGATTTGCATTGAACCTAATCAATGATTTATTCATTAATTACAATTTGAGAACGATAACAAAAAATTATTTTGGGAGTGAATAAAAAAATAATTAGTTTTCCCGTTTAGATAGCAGAGCTAGTTGCTAAGGTTGAAGATGTATATGTCTAACCCGAATGAAATAAACGCCGTTTCTGTGTTCAGGCATTTGGGATTCGTCACCCCAGTTCGGCAAGTTGAATTCTTTCCAATAGAAAGTGACTAGTTCTGCAGGCTACCAGTGCATCGAAATAGCATACCATTTGTTTGATGAAAGTCCTACTCGAGTCATTGAGGTATCTATTTACACATATGACGATCATTTTACATGCGAGGTTCTAATAGGCAATGCATCAACAATATTTTTAATTCATACTTGTGAATAATGTACTGCACATTGTCATTTCCGGTTTTCATTTTGTTCGGTGGGAAAAATTTGGTGCAACTACAAAAGTGTCACTTTAGCAGCACATTCGAAAAGGAGAAGTAGACCACGAAAGGATAATCGGTATCGACCCCATCCCAAGCAACCTCCAGATTTTGGTGTTAATCTGTTCTTGAAGAAGCCTAGCACCACCTCTAAACCAACTGAGGATGATTTAGATATCGAGGAAGAGCATGATGAAGAGGAAGATGGAAATATTGGTGTTGTTTGGGAATCGAGATGAGCTTGAAGCCATCTCATCACTTTTCCAAGGTAGAATTCCACAAAAACCTGGAAAATTGCATCGAGAAAGGCCTCTTCCTCTTCCATCTCCCCACAGGCTCCGACCTTTGGGGCTACCTAAACCAAAATCACAAGTGAAATTGACGAGCTCAAGCTGTGGTTTCTTCCGGGCTTCTATGGCTAAGAAAGTGTATAAAAGCCCTAGTTTCCTAGTTGGGTTGGCAAGAGAAATAAGTAGGCTTGGTCCAGCTGAAGATGTGTCCAAAATTCTTGGGAAGTGGGTGCAGTTCCTAAGGAAAGGGTCCTTGTCATTAACAATAAGGGAACTAGGTCATATGGGATTCCCTGAGAGAGCTTTGCAAACATTCTTATGGGCACAAAATCAACCTCATCTCTTCCTGATGATTGGATTCTGGCCTCAACTGTTGAGGTCTTGGCCAAGAATCATGAGTTAAGAATTCCATTGAACATAGACCGATATACTGGTTTGGCAAGTCGTGCTGTGTTGGAGGCAATGATCAAGGGTTTTATAAAAGGAGGAAACCTTAGACTTGCGTGGGAGGTTCTAGTAGTGGCTAGAAGGGATAAAAGAATGTTGGATTCCAGCATTTATGCTAAGTTAATATTAGAACTTGGAAAGAACCCTGACAGACACAGGCGTGTGTTTCCCTTGTTAGAAGAACTTGGAGAACGAGATGAATTGAATTTAAGCCAACAAGATTGTACCGCTATAATGAAAGTATGCACTAAGATGGGGAAATTCGAAGTAGTTGAGAGCCTGTTTAGTTGGTTCAAGCGAGTCGGCTATCAACCAAGCATAGTAATGTTCACTTACGTGATTCACAGTAGTTACACGAGAAGAAATACAGAGAGGCATTGACTTGTAGTTTGGGAGATGGAGGCTTCAAATTGCCTTTTTGACCTTCCCGCTTATCGTGTGGTAATAAAAGCTGTTTGTTGCTCCGAATGATCTATCTAGGGCAATGAGATATTTTTCAAGACTTAAAGAGGCTGGATTTTCTCCCACTTTTGGCATATACAAGGACATGCTTCAAATTTACATGGCCTCTGGGAGGACTGCGAAGTGCAAAGAGATCTGCAAGGAGGCTAATATAGCTGGTTTCAAGCTGGATAAATATATAATCACATATAAATGAAAAATTGTAGACTTTAAGAATCCTGCAAGCATTGTCATTGTTCTAAAATCCCTCTCTCTAATATAATGATTGGGCCACCTTTTGTACATTTGCAAATATTACGAAATCTTTCTCGCATCGACATTAATAATTTAGAATATTAATATAATATAGGAGAATTTGAAAATTATAAGTCTGTAGCAATTTCATTTGTCATTGTATGAATCCTTCAAGTAAACAATGGATTCAAATTAATTCTTCGTCACTAGTTTTTGTCTTTTGAGTTACTGCATTCCGTGTAGTAACTTGCATTACCTTTATACTTGGAAAAAGGAAAATCATGCTTCTCGTGAATACGGTGCCTGTTGCATCACCAAACCAACTATTATGACAAGCTTGAGCACCAAAAACAGCATCTACATGACCAACTCTGGATTTGGCTAAATTGTCTGCAGTTGGAATTCCTTCCCTAATGCTTCATTTGTTTGCGGATGAGTGTTGTAGTTACGGATGGATTTTAGGTGTGTTGATGTGCGATGATTATGTGGATTTGGTTCAGCTGAAATGTGTGGATTTGTAGTGATAGATTTCAAAACTTATTTTCACACTTCACTGACAGGAACTTGACACTGATAAAATTATCTCTACCATTTTGTTTATAAACTTAGATTTGCAGTTGACTTACCCAAGAACAAAGTACAGTTGAAATGACACACCATCTTGAAATACAATACTGTGGAGAGTTATTTTTATTAGAAAACGGTCCAACCTTTTCACTGTTCTAGCCATTAAACCTTTGGATCGTTGATTTTCCAATAGATTTATGTTTTTTCAAATTTAAAAAAGGAAGAAAACAACGCAAAACATACATACATACACTAAGAGGCCATGGAGTTGTAATGACAAGCTGATTATGTGAAAGTACATAAAATGCTTAAATGAGTGCTGATATTTTGACAACTAGGTTTTAAACATCCGTTCGACAACCCAATAAAAAAATAATAAGCTGTACGGTATTACTGAATAAAAAAATATTAAATGTACAGTGTTTTTATTATTAAATAATTCATTCCTTGGTCATCTCTCCTCTTTCTCCGATTCTCATTTTTGTAGCACAGAACTTTCTCGTTCCTTTGTTGACTTCGACCTTTGCGGTTGTGAACTTGCCCAACTTGTCAGTCGAACTCACTCACCACCACATTGTACAATTTTTCCGGCAACATCGTCAACGTGGTTCCGTTGGCATTTCAAATTTAAATAATTTTTTTTAAATTGGGACTTTAGATAGCGGTTCCCAAAACCGCTATCTAAACCTACTAAAGAGAGCGGTCCTAGAAATAACCGCTATTAAAAATACATTTTAGATAGCGGTCCACGTGGAACCGCTATTATATTATCACTTTTAAGCGCGGTTAATACTATGACCGCTCTTAAAAGTTATCATATAATAGCGGTTTCGCATGAACCGCTCTTAAAAGTGAATCATATTTCGCTCGAGCGAGATGAGTTTCGCTCAAGCGAAACTCAACCCGAGAATCCCTAATCTTAGCAGGTGGAGTCACTCGAGCGATTTAAATTTCGCTTGAGCGATTGTTGACTTGTGGCTAAACGTCGATCAAAGTTAGCCGCATAATGTAACATGGGTGAGCACATGTTTGAATCAGATTTCGCTCGCGCGAGACTAGTATCGCTCAAGCGAAACTCAACCCGAGAATCCCCAATCTTAGCAGGTGGAGTCGCTCGAGCGATGTTACTTTCGCTTGAGCGAGATTAGAAAATCAGATAAAATGATCGATTATTTTAGGTTATAATCGATTATACGTTATGATGATCGATTATAAGTGGTATATGATCGGTTATATTAAGCTAATAGATTATAATATTAATTTATTTGTCATAATTGAATGTAAGCGACGATAAAGTCGCTCAAGAGACCTTACGTGTAACCTAAAGGCAAAATCAGTGAGCGACGCCACTTCTTTTATTTGGTTATTTGAATCATGGTTACGTTGCATGTCTGGGAAGGCTCCTACGGGTATTATCACTGACCAGTGCAATGCAATGCAAAATGCCATTCAGATAGTTTTTCCTGAAGCCTGTCATAGGTGCAATGCAATACATAGAATTTTGCAGTGTTATTTCAACTGCACATGTTAACAATATAACAATGTTGATTGACGAGAGCTTTTCTTGATTCAATGTCTTGTTGGCTGGATAACGTCATCAGTAGTGTAGACTATACATTCTGATTTTGTTAGAGTATATATGATAGGACATAAACATGCAACAGTAGTGTAGACTATACATTCTGATCTTGTAAGAGTTGTGGATGTAAATATAACAATGTAACAGCAATTGTAATTTCTTCAATGCATTTATCAGCAGTTGATGGTCCATACATTTACGTAACAATCATCGGTTGTAGACATTTATCAGACATGTGATAAAAAACAAGTTGAGTTTTTAAACAAGTTTATCAGCTTTCTTAAACAAGTTTTTAAACAAGTTTATCCAGACATTTATTAGCTTTCTTAAACAAGTTTTTAACTGATACATCTTTGATAGAACCGATTAAAATTACTTACAATATTCAGAGAAGTGTTTTTACAGTATTTTAATCAATACAACTTGAGTTTAATGGATTAAAACCACTTGGAGTTCAGGATGATCGATCAGAATAAAATTATGACCGGTCAAAATCCGATATGATCGATCAGAATTGAATTATGACCGATCAGAATCAGTTATGATCGATCAGAATTTAGTTATGACCGATCAGAACTTTTTTAATTGATTAAATCTCTTTTCAATCGATTAAAACAACTTAGAAAAATTTCTATAGAGCGTTTTAATCGATTAAAACTTATTTTTATCAGTTAAAATAACTTGAAAAGTGTTACAAGAAAGTTGTGCAGTATTTCAATCGATTGAATCACGAAACAATCGATTAAATCAACTTAGAATATTTTTTTGTAAAGTGTTTTAATTGATACAAACGTTGTCGTATCAGTTAAAACAAATCTGTTAAAGAATCAAGAACGTTTTAATGGATTAAAAGAAGTTTTAACAGATTAAAACTGCACTTTTAACATATTAAAAGAATCTTTTAACAGATTAATTAAACCAGCAGTTTTGAAAATCTTCTATAAAAACAGAGTTGCTTGAACTTTTTAAACACACATTGAATATCATCTTTTACACATCCTTGAGCAATCAATAAAGCAAACTTCAGCACTCTTTTCAAGAAAGATTCGCATCAGTTTTTGAGAAGTTCTTTGAAAATCTTTCTTGAGGCAACTTGTTTTCTTTTGAAGAAGAAACACTTACAGCAGAATCTGCAGCTCGAATTTGGTTGTAGAGGTTGTCAAGAACTGCAATTTGGTTCTTGGTAAAAGGTTAGGTGTTGGTGCCTGGAATTTGGGCACTGGGTTCTCTTATTTAATTGATTGATTGCTCAAGGATGTGTAAAAGATGATATTCTGTACCTAGAATTTGGGCACTGGAATTTTAATTCTGTCGCTGCATTTATATTGATTGATTGCTTTGTAATTCAAGAACAGATCTGGAATTTTAATTTTTGAATTAGATAATCTATTATTTGCGAAAAACTTTTAAAGATCAATTCACCCCCCCTTTTGTCTTTTTCTAACATTAAGATAGCGGTTATTTGGCCAACCGCTATCTGAACTATACATTATGATCGATTATTATCCAATTATAATCGATCAGTTTTACATATATGACTTTAGATAGCGGTTATTTGGTCAACCGCTATCTGAACTATACATTACGATCGATTATTATCCAATTATAATCGATCAGTTTTACATATATGACTTTAGATAGCGGTTATTTGGCCAACCACTATCTGAACTATACATTATGATCGATTATTATCCAATTATAATCGAACAGTTTGACATATATGACTTTAGATAGCGGTTGTTTCGCCAACCGCTATCTAAGGTCGCCTCGCGCTCAAGCGACTATGTAATCGCTTGAGCGACAGTTGAACCTTTACCAAACGAAACCATCGCTTAAGCGACAAAACCTTCAATTGGTGTGAATATTTGTGTATGAAGTAGATTAAACTGTTAATTTGGCATGAATATTTTTCAATTGGTGTGTTTGGATGTAGCAGCAGATCATGTAATATTTTTTTGCACAAAAACCTGATAATTTGTTAGATTAATTTGTCAAATTTTGAATTGTTTTCTATAATTCCGTGAATATATAATTCGTCAAATTCTGTGAATATAATTACGTGAATATATAATGTCAAATTTACATTGATGTTTATATGTCTACAACAATTAAAATTCACAAGTCATTCATTATTACAATCCTTCAATTTCATGTTAACAAATTGTTCCACCATTTCGTTGTACACAAGACACTATATAATTGCATCCTGTCTTTTCTTTACGGTGGCACTTGCACCAACAGGGGTTGACATATGACACGATGAACAACATGACCTCTTGCCTTTGTCCTCAGCCTGGCACCGACAAAAGAAAAAGAGTGTCAAAGAGACCGAGGATTATAATGAAACATCACTATAATGCCAGTTTAAATACAATTGGACAAATCCGTTATTAACAAAGTATTGGGTGTCAAGGACCTTTGGGGCTATCACCTCCTTCGTGGTCACAGTTTGGGTACTTGAAGAAGTCGCTTCTGAGTGGGTGCGCTTGGAGCTTTTTCTTTTGCCAGCCATGGTTTATGTTTACGACTATTGAGATAGTCAACAGTGAACAAAACACAGAGAACATATCTCTGTGAGTAATTAGAAAGCAAAGAATACATTAACCTCGATGGTTGTTGTATGCTTCTTCTTTACAATGCAAACGAAATCAAACAAGATGAACCATCAAATTAAAATTCAAAATCGTGATCAACAACCATATTAAACCCTAAACCAAATGAACAGAACCGAATATTTAAACATAGACGAACCGGAGCCGGGAGAGAACGAACGTTTCTTTTGCGTGCGCCGACGAGAGCGAGAGGAAGAACAGCGAGAGGGAGAAGACAAGCGAGAGCGAGAGGAAGAACATATATTTCACTTTTTACCATTACATCCCCATTTTTACAATATTACATCTGTCCCCTACAATTTTACTAGTCAAACCCTTATTTTTAACTAAATTCTTTTTCGCCCCTCTTATCGAACGGATGTTTGTTTTCCGGTTGTCAAAGTATCGTTTTCCTTATTTATATACCTCACAACAAGAGGTAACTGTATTATCTTTTTAAACTATCTTGGGCTAGAAGAGATTCAGTTTTTATGGCCCCAAAGGTAGTTCATGGCCCGCGGGTCACTTCCAACCTCAACCTCTGAAACTCATAAAGTAGTCTTGTCACACATGGATCTCGTATTCAAATCTTCTCCATCCCATTCGGTATTTTCAGCCCAAAGAAAAAAGTAAACTTAGCTATTATGCATTCCCTTTTTTTACTCTTCAAAACCCTCGCATGAGTTTACCCTAATATTTTGCCCAAACTTGTTACCGTTCCCAGCACCATACTGCCCGCCAATCTAACCTTTTGATTTTTTTGCCTTCAACCCTCACATAATCC